TTGAATCTCAAGTAGCCTTGCTCCCCAAAAGGCTATTTCCTCTAGATTGGACTAGACCCAAGTTTCGACTTCGTCCCATTTTCTCATTAGAATGCCAAGAGGGAGATTACACCTGTTCGTTAGTATCGTGGCGTCGTTACTCCTCTGTAGCATAGCTTGGGGTGCCAGTGTGTCCGAAATTAGATAGGACAATCAAGGCCTCATCCAAATCACCTTCCATAGTGAGAGAATCGAATTAGTACATTTGCTTTAAATTGCAATCGACTACTTATTTCCGATGCTAGTGGTGGGTAGAGACTATTTGTAATTCTTGAATGGCACTAATCAGCTTTCCACTTCTATTCCCTAAGCTAGTAAGTTCAATAGCTTTTATTATCTCTCATTTATGAGAAGACATATCATAATCAGCAAATCGACACGACGTCTGATAAACTACACTATCCTGAATAATATGATAAACAAGGTGAATTCAGAGTAATGTACACAATTCATCGTCTTCTGGTAAGACACCTAAAAATCTCTTTCCCAGATACTTTCATCCGAAGTGGAAGACACCACAATAGCTAGCCTTCGCAAATAGAACCATCAGACTTTGCAAATGTATGCCAGAGGTCGCTTTTAAAATGTTAAAAAATCTCTCGAATAATGTTCACCTCGAGTATTATCAGCGCGGGTCTTTCTGTCCTGTCCAAGTTATCCGCCTACGTAAGTTTCCCCATATTTTTTCACTGAAGAAGCATTCAATAAATGAAGGTATAGCGGCATCAGGTCTTTGGTGAGAAGCACGAAAGCCGAGTAATACAAGGGACTTCCTCTTTTCGACTATCCTTTCCTACAGGCCCGAACGCAGATTATTTTAATGTTCGACCACTTCTTGCCATTGTCCAGTAATTATATGCCCATATTAGTGTGCAACCAGCGATAAAGTGACATCTTCAAAAGTCTCAACATTGCTCTCCACTTTGTCTTTCATAAACAGATGTCAGGCAAAGAAGATAAGTTATGATTTATGCAGATTTGATGCGCTTGTCTGAGGCTTGCCTACCCCCCGAAAGTGTCGGATTGCCCTCCATTTGCGGAGGCATATAGCTTGCATTTTATACTATTGCTTCCATTCCAGCCTGGCCGAAATTTGCACATTTATCCAGTTTCTCATCACAACCGGTCACTTTGCTTGGGTCGTAAAGCTCAGGGTAATCCTTTTCTGGCTACAATTCTGGTTCATACTTTGCACAAGCGGATTGCTCAGTCGTTTGTGGGCAAACGTCCCCTCCTTATTCTCTCCAACCATCGGCTTTACTTCCTCGTCAAACGAATTCAGCCCTGTCCTCAGATCGGGTTGCTGCCTAGACTCAAATTTAAGTCTCAATCTTTTGTACCACTTATTTAGCGCCACTAAGCAGATTCATACACGTCAGCGAGACAGGAGAACGCGAAGAATGCTAGTGCTCCAAGTATATAGTCATTTTTATTTTTTATTGTGAACTCTAACCGTTTGGTCATCTATCACGGCATAAAGTGTAACCTTCCCTCTGCAGGCGACACTTTACGGGAGGTAATGCCGACCAGTTATTCGGGTTTTGCATAATTTAACTTTGTCTAGAAGGTTAGTGCCCTTTAGCTGGCCCCCATTGCTTGGCTGCGTCTTTTCCCTTTCCATTTGGTCGTAGCAAGCTTTGGCCAATTAGACTCATAAAAATGTACCATCAAGGGTATCTATGAGTGGGACTCTTAGACACTGGCTCACTGGATTGATGTTGCGTTCCACATCACAAGCTCTGTTATGTCAACCTTCTGATTTCAGAACTGAACAACTTCTACGATGAAGGCCTTAGTGAGGCTAAACCGGAAAAGACCTGACAAGAGGCACATCTGAAAGCGATGGATAAAAATTGAATTTTACTTTACTCATTGACATCCTCCATCTTTTCCTCCTCAATATATTTTCTTCAGGACTTTCTCAACATTAGATACATCCGAATTAGCAAGGGGGATGCCATCAGGCAGCTTCCATTACATATGAACCATTTAGAATCCTATGGTCTCAATCTCGCCTCTACCATTATCAAACTACTACTTTTTCCTAATTTTCCACTAGCTCTTTAACTATACTTAGCAAAGTATTAACATTGAACTAGACACCTATTTAATGTATATTATTGTTTAGTGGTTATTTTTATATTTCTTGCTCTACTTTTTCTGTTTGGCTTTTGCTTTCAGTTTCGATGTTCCGCTGATGAAGGCGGCCTTCTCCTGCAGCTTGCAGGGGGTCTTATGGTCGCCTGTCCGAGGCCGGGGCAACTAGCCAACGTCACTGCGTGCCTGACCGGTCCCGGGTTGACTGTGCATGGACGACTTGTCTGCCCGGACTGTCGGACCTATTGTGAGGTAAATAAATCGGTTTTCGTGTTTCTCAAGTGCATTATTTCTCAAATAAGAGTTTCAGTCACCCCAAGTCGCATTAAGGGATCATAGTCTGATGGTTGTATTCTGTCCACAATGAGATGGGAAGACAAAGATTTCCGTTAAATATCACTGTACCTTAATTCTTAAAGGGTATTCTCGTCCAGTTGGGTTGAACTGGTTCTCATCATCAACAATAGCAGCAACTAAACCCGTATAGTGAGTGCAGTGTATGATCTCGGCATGTTGCCATCAACCTACTATAAGAAGATACGAAGAGTAAGTGTTTCGATGCGTCTTTAAAGATAAGATTGTTGGGAAGACTTTCATCCGTATTAAACAGTATAATGAAGAGATTCGTAGTTTGATCTCAGCTTAAGGCGGCGGCTAATCCCAGTTCTACTGCAGCTGTTTTGCTTTAATACGACGTTCAGAATGACGCAGTCCCTCTCTTTCAAAGCGAATACTGGTTGATCATTTGTTCATCATCAGAGCTGAACCTCATTCTTTTAGAAGTCTCAAGTTAATACTAGGTCAAGAAGACTGTCAGGCTCTAATCTACGTCTTATATATATATACTCATAACTGAAAAAATGAAGAAGTATAAGCATATATAAATATATAATGATTTGGCTAATTCCCTTTCATATTGGGCATGATACTTTTACTTAAGTGTGTGTGGGTGTGTAAATGTCTATACGAAATACCGAGCCTAAATCAAAGTGATTCAAAAAGCTTAATAACAGACTGGGATCAGCAAAACTTAAACGAGTCTGCATAATTCTGTAAGCAATTCTGGCTGAGATATTGAGATGTAAGCTTGTACTCGTGTGAGTCAGGTCACGAAACCACTTTTCATAAACTGTCAGTCTAGAGTTATTAAGGTTTAACGGCCCAGGGAAAAGTATGACTAGATTGCGTAATCTCCTACGTTCGGCTTCGTTTATGAGCTTAATCTACATATTTTATCACTGTAAGGTTATAACCACCATTGGGCTGTGTGCATAGATATATGAACACATGAAGGCATATAAACACATACTGATAAACATGCTTTAAATTTGACATATACTTGGACTAACCAAAT